ACTCGATCCCTGGCCGGAGTCACCAGCACCTCCCAGTTCGGTCCCAACTGCTCTCCAGGCATGTGGAGCCCCATTCCCTACTCCCACTGCACCCTGCCCAGACACTCCTTCAGCCTGGACCTGCTCATCTCCCACACGGACCCTGCCAAGGTGCCTTCCAGCCCCAACTATTCCAGGATTCCACGGACACCGTCTCCAGAAGGAGCTGGGAGGGATGGGATCCAAACTCTTCCTGACACCCTGAAAAACAACATCCACCAACCTTCCACCATCTCTGGGATGGGGGACCTTATCCAGGACATCAAACCAGTCAGACAGGACCCTCCCTTCCTCAAGCCATGGGGACAGTGACACCCTCCAGCCGCTTCCATTGCCACACAGATGAGGTGGCAGAGCCGGGGCAGGTGTGGCAGGGCAGGTGACCAAAGGATGGCACCAGGAGCAGATAAAAGCCAGGAGGAGGCCCAGAGACACAAGTGCCCCTGCTCTCTGCTACCCTGAGCAGATCAGCTTTCCCAAGGCCAGAGGATGCCAGGAGTGGCTTTTGGCGTCGGGGTCCTGCTGGTCCTGGTCTGTGGCACTGTCACACAGGGTTGTGGTCAGTGTCCCTCCTCCTGCAGGGGCACTGGAGACACCCCGGTGACACTACAGGGGCAGGAGGGGATGGGACATGGAGGTCCCGGGGACCTCCTGCCCTCAGGGCCAGAGGGGTGCTGGGCTACGGCCTCCTGTGACCAGCTGGTCCGGGAGCTGCTGCAGCGCATGGAGGAGTCGATCCAGCCACACGCACAGTCAAACCCCAGCATCCTGCTGGCCATGAACCTGCTTGGGGCAGACATCGAGAGTCCCACCTACAAGTCACTACTCCAGAACATCAAGGAGGAGGTGGTGAGGAAAGCCCAGAAAGGTAGGGAAGGGAATGAGGGGGGTCCCTGGTCCTGGGGGATCAGATTCCTCAGGTTTGGCACTGCCGGCTCCTGGGGAGACAGGTGCCATCCCACCACGCTCCTGGTGTCCTCTTGTCCCCACAGCCATGACCTCAGGACAGGTGGCTCAGCACATCCTTGCCCTCCTCTCATCCTGCCAGGACCCCTGGCAGGTCCCTGCCCCGGAAGAGCCCATCGACCTGATCCCCATCCTGCAGCAGAAAATGCATGAGGAGATAACCCACAACGGTACTGTGTGATGGCAGGGGGCACAGGGGGCTGGGGGTGTCACTCTCCCAGTTCACCCCTCTTTGCCTTGCAGTGATCAGCTGGTACAACAGGAGCCTGGACATCCTGACCCTGTGTGTGGTGAAGGAACATGACCGAGGTGCAGCCGTGGCCCTGGCCAAGGAGTTGCTGAGCCCTGACAGCCACCTCGATGTGGGTAAGGGACCCCTCCAGCCCTGCTGAGTCCCCTCCACTGCCACAGCCCCACTGCCCACCCAGGGCTTGACAGTGACCCCAGGATCCCACAGACACCTGTGCCATGGCGGTGCTGGCCCTGGTGTGTGAGAACAACACAGCCCCATACCAGGAGCACCTGATTCAGTGGGCACTGGGCAATGTGACCAACGGCCTCCTGGACGAGCAGGAGAAGGGGAAAGGCGTGATCGGGAATCTCTCCAGCATGGGGCTGGCCATACAGGTATGGAGGGGGCTGGGGGGCTGCCCATACAGGTATGGAGGGGGCTGGGGGGTCACGGCCACACGGCTCTGCCCCTGGGCTGCTCGTGCCACCTCCTGCCTTCTCTGCAGGCTCTGGAGTCCTCAAGGAAGTTTTATGCCCCTCGGAGGTGGGACCATGCCCAGGCCTTCAGTGTGGTCCAGACCTATGAGCAGGAGTACACACAGCCCATGGCCATCGCTCGGGTCCTGCCTGGCCTCGTGGGCAAGTCCTACCTCAATGCAGGTAGGGCTGTGCTGCCCCCACCCAAACGCCCCCGAGCCGACAGCTGCCCTTGTCCCCAGCGCTGGTGACACCTGGCATTCCAACCCAGAGCCACCCAGACCCCACGGGGACCATGCTCCTGCCCCTTTCTCCGTGGGAGCGTTCCAGTTGCCCACCCTGCCCCTCTCCTCCCCCACAGGCCCCCTCACGGTGCAGTATTCCATCACCAACACGCTGAAGAACTACTTCCACTACTCCACCTCGGTGTGTGTCCCACCTGGCTCCAGGTTGCTGCAGGTCCTGAAGGTAGCAAGGCATGAAAAGCCCCACATCTTTAGGTGAGAGCCAGAGGGACCGGGTGGGGGACAAGGGGAGGGGTTTCCATCCCCCACCCAGCCCTGAGCACACTCACCTCCCCGGCAGCTTCAAGACAAACCAGACACACTTGGGTCCCTTCGTGGTCTCCATCCACGGGCTGGCTGGAAGTGACAATGACAGGACCTACTGGCAGTTCTTCAGTTGCTGGAGTCCCCTCCAGCAAGGTGGGCAGCTGGGATGGGTGGGGGGTCATGCTGGGGGTCTCCACATCCCAGCCTCACATATCCCTCTGCCACAGGGGTTGGAACCTACAGGCCAAAAAACTGGGAGCACATCCAGGCCGTGTTCAGCACCTACTGAAGCCACCAAGAG